CTCCCGGCTGGGCCCAGGCAGGCCGGGCTGCATTGCCACTGCTGCGGGGGCTGGGGCCATGGAGGCCTGGGCTGCATAGCCTCCCCGCTGGGCCTGGGCTGTGCCACTGCTGCTGGGGCAGGCCGGGATGCGCCACCTCCCTGTGTATACGCCGCCATGGAGAATACACGGGTGCGGCGTATACATGGATTTATTTACAAAAATACAATTTTCTGTGGATTATACATGGGTGCGGTTTATACCCGTGGGTGGGGTATATGCATGAAAATATGGTACTTGGTCTCTTGCAGAGTCTTGTGACCTTGGATGAGGGCTCATTGATTCAGGTGCAAAAGTGGGATGGAAAAGAGACAACAATGAAAAGGAAAATAATGGATGGGAAAGTGGTGATGGGAAGTTCTTTCTTGATACTAGATTACTAAAACAAATGGGTCTTCACTAACCTTTTTAGCATTCCTCATCTAGCAAAGACCAATAGCAACTCTTCTGTAATCAGAAGGAAAACATCAGTGGTGAGGAAACCTCTAATACTGATGTTGCAATGTTGCTAGAGACCATTTTGAAGCCCTTTGTGGCAATATTCATCCATCTGCATATGGAAATATTTCTTGATTTGTGCTGTAGTAACCTTTCTCCTCCTCTTTCTCTTAGGAATGTAGCATGAACAATATCAGCTGCACTACAGTATATGTATATGAGAAAGTGAGAGACTGCTAATTCCTACATACTGACCTGGAAGCTTCCCCTGAGAGAGCTCTGTGCAATCTTCTGTTCTCTCGAGCCTGTCTCAAAATAGTATATTCAAGTAACTTATTAAGCTTTGAAACACTGAATAGTGAAGTCTGTATACATTCTATGGATATCTTGCTTACAAAATCATAAAATGGTGATATGGCTACCTCTTTTTAAACTGAGGAATAACTCAATACAATATTTGTCTTCCAATTTAGGAAAGATTTAGTGGAAGTCTCTTCCTCCCTCATCCTTCCATAATGCTCTAATATACTTCCTAAAAGTTCTGCCCAGCTTCTGAGAGGGTAAAATTATGAAGCTTTTATCTTGAATATGAACAGGTGTCCCAAGTCAGTTCCTGTAATGGTGTCACTTCTATCTCATTAAAATGCTATTACTCTGGCACGGTACCATCTTGTTATCATCTGCATAGGTGTAAATGACCAACGTGCAGGCAAGGCAAGGCAAGGATCACAGGGGATGTCTTTGAAATGCTGTAGCTTCCTCTGTACAAATTGGTGTGGGGGCATGGAGCAATGCTTCATGTCCCAGTCACTTGCTATAGAAAAGAAAGGAAAACTGCAACAGGGGTGCCTCTTATTTAGATCCCATCCCTGAAAAAATAAGAGCTCTCCTGCCATAAAAAAAGAAAGGTGTTAAAGACAACAGGAGCATTGTCCCCAGTCCTTTACAGCAGTATGTTTTGAAGCTAACTTCTAATGTTTCCTCTCGAACAGTGGTTCTCAATCCCTTTAGATTTGAGGCACCCCTCAGAAAAAGCCGGGTCCTAGTTTTCACTCCAGTTTTGACTAAGGAAAAACAATAGGAGAATTGTCTCTTGGAAAGACTGACAGGCACAATACTTTTAACACTATGGATTTCTGTTTGAGATCTCTGGGTTACCTAGTGAATTCTGTCTGCCTGCCTAGCAGTGATTACGGTGCCTGGCACCCCTGTAGTACCCTTGAAAGTATCTCCAGGCCCCTCAGGATGCTGCAGCACCCTGGTTGAGAATCATTGTTCTAGAAGGAAGTTTTACTCTAGCACCCCTTTGTCCTCCCAGAGTTTGGTAGGCCTCTTCTTTCCTGCAATATTTATAAAGTGAAGGGAGATGCTACCTGGATTCCTCTGCCTTGTAGAACAAAAGCTATAATAGTTGGGCAACATGCCCATTCAAATGTACTTTGCATGCACATGTACTTCATTCCTGATACTTGAGACAGGATGATAGAGTCCCTGCAAGCCAAGAAAAGGGAGGATTTAGGGCATCTTGGAAACATGCTGATTTAGCATGTCTCACTACTCCCACCCATGGTCAATATAATATTGTGCTCCTACTGGTGCAAAGTAGTATGTATGGAACATGCACCCAGCAGCCCATCTGGGGGAGGGCGGGGGGGGGGGATGAGTAAAATGGTGCTCCCCTATCTGCTGTTTTTTTTTCTCACAACAGGCTCAGCCCTGTGTCCAGTAGCATATCTGGGGAGGGGAGAACAGCCCCCTAGGGGTGATTTCCAGGGAGCTCATGCCATGGGACTCCTGTGCTGGATTCTCTCTCCCTCTCTGCCATTGCTGCTCAAGCTGTCTGCACACGGAAGGCAGCAGCAGTTGTTTTCCCTGTGCCGAGAACCCAGGAAGGTAAGACTTTCCTTCCTTTTCCACTCCATCCCACCTGCTGTACAGCAGGTGGCATATGCCCTCCCCATGGCCTGGGAACTGAATGACCTCACTATGCCTCTTTAGACAAGCTACCTTTAAAAACTTTAGTGTGTGGAGTGGGGAGAGTGGGATGAAAGGGGGATTCTCACTCTCTCATTTCTTGAATTATTATGGGATCTGATCCTAATGGTCTCACTTGTCTTCTTCCTCTGGGAGCCTGCTGGCTGCAAAGAATAGGGTATAAGATATTATATCTGTTGACTGAAGATGGCAATATCTGGCTCATAATTTGGATCTGACTGTTGATGTTGGTTACTACTGCTAACTGAACAGGGTACCCTTAGATAAAATAAATAAGTAGTGCTGATCCCAAGGAACCCAAACATGGGTTTGCAGTATTTGTCCACACCCCTGGTACAGACTCTGAGTTGGGGAGGGAGCACCTGTGCTAGCAACTGCACCTTCAAATATTAGGGTGATGGAATGCAGTTATGTGATTTTACTTACAAAATCAGAGAATCTCTGTTCCTGTGTCATGATCTGAAGCTGTGAATCAAAGCCCTTCCTCCCAAATGTGTGTAGGCACTAGTGTGGCTTTATAAAAACCTGACTGGTATAGATCAGTAAGCTGCATAATCATTTAGCAAGTTGTATTGACTATACCTCGGTTGCTCGGGGTTGGAGGGGGGCGGTCAGGAAGGCCAAGGTGGAGATGGAACTGGGACTAGCCACCCGGATTAAGGACAACAAGAAGTCCTTTTTTAAATACATAGGGGGCAAAAAAAAGGTACCTGGTAATGTGGGGCCTCTGCAAGACATGCTAGGAAATCCGGTTGTTGCACCAGATGACAAGGCTAACCTATTTAACAATTTCTTTGCCTCCATTTTCCTGAGCAGGGACCAGATCAGCCCATCTGCCGGGAACCCCTCAGGCCCCGGGGCAGGCGTACCCAGGCCTAGGGTCAGTGAGGACCTAGTCAGGGAACTTCTGGAGGGACTGGATGTATTTAAATCAGCTGGTCCTGACGACCTCCACCCCAGAGTGCTGAGGGAATTAGCAGAGGTCATTGCAGGACCCCTGGCATGGCTTTAGGAGCACTCGTGGTGCTCTGGCCAGGTGCCAGAGGACTGGAAAAGGGCCAATGTGGTTCTCATTTTCAAAAAAAAGGAGAACCCAGGAAACTATAGGCCAGTTAGTCTTACCTCAATCTTGGGTAAGCTTTTTGAGAGAATTATCCTGGCGCATGTCCACGAGGGACCAGCAGGGGAGGTGATGCTTAGGGGCAACCAACACGGGTTCATTAGAGGCAGGTCCTGTCAGACCAACCTGGTGGCCTTTTATGACCAGGTCACAAAATCCTT